GAGTCCCGTATCAAGCGGATTGGCCAAGTGACTGGCCAGACAGGCTAGTGTAGCAAAGCTCACAAGAGACAACGGAGTGCTGGACTCACCTAGTGGCGAACGCGTTGAGGGCCCCTCGTCTTTTACCTTTTCCTCTAACTCCTTTTAAATGACGGATGCTTTGAAGGCTGCCTGTTGAGCAGCCTTACTGTTCCGCCGAACCGAACGAAAAGTCCTTGGTGCTGGAGTTCACCGCCTGCCCTGTCGATACGCAGTGATATTCGGCCAGTAGTGCATCTCTTCAATACTATCCATGCTAGAATGAACCAAACTATGCAGTGTTGGCCACCTCAGGCCGTAATGATGGCCCCAGGCCATGTTCCTGAGGCAAATTGTACCTTTTCTATAAATATTGAGCCCACATCCGTTGACGGCCACGAAGCAGAAGATTTGGCAGCTTCGTCTCTGTCTGAAGGCCGACTAAGAGGACAGTATCTCACGCAACGGCGGCATGAGGAAGTCATTGGCTCCGGCAGTAACGCGGAGGATGATGCAGGGTTACTTTGTCCGCACTACAACCAGCACCACAAGGGAAAACATTATAAGCAGTATTTGCAGCAGAAATCGGCAGAGGCTCAGGCAATCAAGGAAACTACACGCCCGCCACTCTGGAGAGTTCCTATTGTCAGGCAACCCCTCCCGGTTAGCGTAGAAGAATTCAATCCAGCAGAACCTAAGTATGCAAAGTTTGTCAAGGCCCTATGGTCTCACGCTAAAGCTACAGTGGAAGATAAAAACAGAGCCCAAGATTTTTCTGAGTCTCCAATAGGAAGGGACCCGCTGCCTCAGCGGTGCACAGAGCTGGATGAAACGGGATGGAGACGGAAGGAACCCATACAGCATTCCTGGCAGGACCGGCCGGGAAGCGTAGGCAGGCCGTCGAGCCCTGCAGTCCTTCGACAGGGGCCTTCGTGGCTTGTGGATGCTGAAGGGTACGAGGGACCCTACGGATCAAAGGGTGACCTCAGGTCGAAGGGAATGAGTTACGAAAGTAGGTTTCAGCTGCCAACCCTTTCTTCACTAATGAAGGCAAAACATGCGGTGTTTGTCAAGGCGAAAGATCCTAGGGCAGGCAGATGTGTCTCGGAAAGGAAGAGGACTACGCGCCGGCGACAACGACGGACAGGGCGTTGTCTATCTTCCCCACCTAGTCTTCAAACAGCCACTGTCTCATTTGAAATGGTGCCGTCGGAGCAGCCACAGCAGCCACCACCTGCTGCTGTGGCGCCAACCGTCCATTTTCCATCTCCTCTTCCGCCGTCTCCAAAGGGAAGCCCCCGTGAAGAAAGTCCCCCCAAAAGTGACCCGTGTAGCAGCCCTAGAACTTCACTGGCGCCATCGTCTCAGGACGAAAAGGGCGGAAGCAGCAGCCAAGAAACCACGCCGAATAAGCAAGCTAGCCAAAGACCTACGGAGGGCGGGTGGACCTTACAGATCAGAGGGAAGGGAAAGTGCCGCTATCCTGAAAACTACGTACGCTGGAAGAGGGACAAAAGGCGCATGAAGGACCGACTAAAGAGGCTCAAGGCTGGACAGATATTTACAAGCGAGAGACCAGAAGGCACCTGCACAGCCTGCCAAAGTCCCAGCCTCTGGTGGGATCCACAGCCTCTAGCTGAACACCTTCACAGCGTCCGCAGCTTTGGCTCAGTACCCAAAGATGACACGTCATCAGGCAGTGACCTTTCGCCTTCTTCTCAAAGTAGCAGCAGCACTACTAGCACGGACGGAGACAGCAGTCCGAGAAGCTGTAATTCATTCCATGACAAGGAAGATGACCCTGTAATGCTTGAGTCTCCTCAAAACGTAACGTACTTCTCGTCTGCCCCTCCTACAGTGACCAATACAGTTGTCGTACCACCCACCCATGCATACCCTTTAGGTGGAACTGGGGCACTTCTTCCTCTCAGACAATTTGTAAATTGCCCTTTGAGGCTCCCGTGCACTCCAGTTATTGTGGGATCTTCCAGACCGCTGCAGAGGTATCCAAGATCACAAAAGCCCCTTTGTCTTGCAGGCGCATATCGGAATCTGCCAGGGGTGTGCTGCTCCCCTGAAACTTTCCCAAAAGACACTGATTCTTGCGTGGCAGGGCCCCTGCTGGCATCATCGCCGCCGGATCCACTGTCGCTTGCACTTCCGCAGCATCATCTTTTGTTGACCCCTGAAGTGCAACGGGGGCAGATTCTGCTTCCTCAGCATATGCAGCAAGTGCAACAGGAGACGTGTATGGTGCAAGCGCCACAGAGGTATGTGACTATGCAGATGCCAGGAACGGGAATATCACCTCAGATTGTCACTGTATGTTCACCTCAGTCAGTCCCATTGGAGCCGCACCAGCAGCCGCAGCACCTTCAGTATCAGGCGCAGCAGGAAATGCAACCGCAAAAGGAGCAGAAGGCGCATGAACAGCGGAAGAAAAAATCAGTTTTGAAGGAACTTAATGGCGCAGATATAGGCCCGCAGCCTCGCTCAGAGTGGAGTCGAAATGGAGCTTCTAATCGCTTCAAACAGCAAGCCGCAAGTGGCAAAACTCACATGAGGCGTGGTAGTGCTCCACCAAGTGCAAGTCGTCAGACAGCAAAAGGCAGTGCGGTCGGGCAGCACCAATTGACAGCCGTTCCTACGCCGACGATGCCTGGTCCACCCCTTATCAGCCATGGGGGCTGTCACCTTATCCAGCATGGCCAACCGCAAGGATTAGTCTCACAACCTCCGATTGTGGCGCCGCAGCCTCTTGGTGGCCCTCAGCTGCTATCCGCAACGCCTGGACCTTTTTACAGTGGACCTCAGGTTGTTTTACAAAATGCCAGCACCCTTTATGGTGCATCGCAGATGGTTCCAGGAATAGGCCAACGTTTTCCAGGAGGTTCTACGCCGCTTCACCAATCTCAGTTTTTGCCCTTAGCGCCCACTCAAGTGATGTTGAGACCACCTCAGCAAGGACTTGGCGGAACTACTTGGGCTTTCCCGGGTACTGCAAATCCTTTGCAAACAACGGAGAGGCTAGCATCTCACTCGACTTTGCTCGGATACAACACCCAACATACTGTTACCTGCGCCCCTCCAAGGCAACCCATTTTTGTGGGGCCATTTCCTTCTGTTGCTCAGCAGCAAGCGCCAACTGTGGTGAAACAGTCATCACTACGGCCGCTTTTGATCCATAAAGCACATCAGGGCATTTCTATACCGCAACAGCAGTATCACGGAGTTTCTGTGCCGCAACAGCAGCAGCTGGTCACATTCCCGCAGCAGCCTGTCGTGGTGCAGCAAAAGCAACAGCCGACTGTGATCCAGCAGCAGCAGCAAGGTCTCACTTTTCAGCAACAGCAGCCGCTAGTTATGCAGCGGCAGCAGCCTGTTGTGATACAGCAGCAGCATTCTTCGCAGCCAGCTGTCTGTCATTTGGTAGAGCAGCAGCCAAGCACCCCAATCGTGATTCCACAGCAGCAGAGAACCGCGATTATAGCTCCGCAACCCTCCACTGTAGTAGTGCAGCGGCCTCCAACTATCATACTGCAGCAGCAGAAGCCTACGGAGCAGAAGCCTACTGAGTCGAAGCCCAAAGAGAAGCCAAAGGTCCCATGGCTGTGGAACTGCAGCATCAATTGTGGAGCCAGGTGCGGAAGCAGCAGCCCCTCAAGTAGCCGGGGTGAACAGCAGGAACAGCAGACGCAGCAGCCGCGAAAAGAGCCTGAACAACCAGCCGAGCGAGTGCAGCCGAAAGAGAAAACGTTGCGGCCTTCCGCTACAGGATATGAGACGAAGGCGCATTGGGAGCATCCACGTGATACTGCAGCAGCTCCTTCAACTGCTGCTGCTGAACGAGCAACCACTGCAGTAGCACACGGAAAGCGACCCTCCCCGCAACGCTCGGCTAGCGAAGCTCCTCAAAGAGCAGTACGGGACTCCCGGCAGACACAAAAGTATCTCCGTCCTCCACAACAGGGAGACTTCCTGCCCGCGTCACCCAGTAAATACCAGCAACCAGTTCCTCTCACGCAGACTGTGCCACCCCTAGTCACTTCTACGCACGCAGCCGATCTAGGAAGCCAGCAGGTCTGGATGTCACCTGCACCAGTAGTGTGCATGCCGAACCAGCAGCTTCAACAGCAAGCACAGATGCAGGCACTAGGTGTACTGAACCAAGAGCAGAGCGAGTCACAGTGCTCTGAGCGTGATGCGTGGGAAAGTCCTGACCGGATGGAGCCTACCTTCAAGTATTTGCCATTCACATTCAGGTCGCCAAAGCGAAACATTATCTGTGGGACAGGAAAGGCAGAACACTCTAGGGAAGTGCCTGCTTCTGCTACAGTGACGCAACACCAGCAACGCTCTAGCTGCTGTGGCACACCTGGAGCGCAGCTATCGGCGAGCCTTACATGCAGCATGTAGGCTCTATGTTTCGTCTCAAGCAGCCGCCCTATTCTGTGAGTATTGAACTGCAGGTTTTGTTTGGGGAAGACGCATCTGCGTTAGCAGGCTTTAAGAATGAAAGAGTTCCCAGCATGTGAGCGCCTCAACGAAATGCTGCGGTATCTGTCATACTAGCGGATATTGTCCCATCAGTAATCTAGTTCAGTAACTTTGGCGCAACTCCGCTAGTGAGTCGGTGTGCGTGGCCGTTCAGGCTGTCCAGTCGACGGGATACACTCTCACGAAGAGTTAAGCAATAAACTGCAGTGCATTTAACCATTTGTCTATACCCGTTGGCCCGTTCGGGTGCCAACTCGTTTTGAAGTTTCATTAAGGAGTCCTACTGACACACACTCGAATTCAGCCTAGATGCCGCTGTGCTCGCCGCAAATCTGTTAATGTAAAGCAAGCCGGCGTAGAGAAAACTCTAGCAGAATGAGTTCGCCGGTGCTGACTAGGGATGAGGAAGGCTTTGCACCAAGAAAATATCCAGACTTTAACGGAATGGATAAACAGAATATGAGAACAAGGGGGAAAGACGTAAATCAGAATGGGCGCTCAGTCACTCTGCCTCGACACATCGCGCAAGAACCCCAGGACTGGCCTTCTACCAGCAGGTCACCTGAAGGCGAAAAACAGCATGCTGGCGCGCAACAATGTTAAGCGAAGAGCCAGAAAACTGCAGATAAGCACGGGCCTTGGGCACATAGCGAGGACGAAGACCGACTTGCCGCAGATGCAAACAGCAATTCGTAAGACCGATAAAACCAAAATTGAGAACAGAGGCACTAAAGGATAGAACACCGCAGAGACTGAACATATGTTCAAAACAGTTTTGGTCTCCACAACTTCGTACTGAGGGGGTTCCAAACTCCGCATCGTCCGCAGAGTATTTTGTGTTTCAAAAGATCCTCCAGCTCTTTCTGCTTCTCTTTGCTCTTCTCATGTGTCTCGGCTACGTGGAGAGACAAAAGCCGCAACTGTTGGGAGTAGTTTTCCTCTGCCAGGCGAGCGCTTGCTGCTGTTTCTGTTGCAGCAGCAACAGCAGCAGCAGCTGCAGCCGCTCCTGCTTCCTTCGAGCGACGAAGCTCACGGCGCAGGGCAGCACGCTGGTCCTCAAGCGCATGAACAGCCTGTAGCCGCACAAGCAACAGAGGAACGCGACAGCACCATTACTAGTTATGTCCGGCCGCAGCCGTCTTCCTCTAGCATTTCCTGTTGTGCAGGGACAATGCAAGATGCCACATCTTGTTCTCTTTTTTTCTATGTTCTGCAGCTGTGGACTGCTGCTTTAAGTTACCTTGAAGGCGCTGCTGAGTTGCATCCTGAGTACAGCGAGGGCTGCTGCTTCCGCGTGCAGTTTCTGCTGTAACAGCAGCAGCTCCTCCGCATACACGCTTCTTTGCTCTTCAGCAGAGACGTCAAAAGCCCTGTAGTCACATAGTCAAGGCAGAAATATATACTTTCGCCGCAGCTGATTCACCGCAGCAGTCGCACTTGGTGAAGCCGCCGACTGAGCAGCAGGGACAAACGTCAAAAGGGGGAAACGTACATGCTGGCCAAATCTGCTTCCTTAGCTATGAAAGCTGCTGCATCTGCTGTGGTTGGGCCGGCCAGCAACGCCAGTCCCTTGACAACAGGATCACCTGGAATGAACAGAACGTATGCAGCACAAGCGGCATATGCGGCAGTAGCAGGAGGGGCCTTTGGAATACAGGTAAAAAGCATGATTATAAGCCCTAGCAAATTATGAATTTAGCAAAACCGCCCTCCCCCACAAACCTTGACTACTAGATCCCTTAGAAGCAACAGCTGCAGAAGACTCTGCAGCGACAGGAACGTCGGCAAGCACAGGCAGCCCTCCTGCGCCACCTTCAAGATGCGTGGAGCAGCGGCTGCTACCGCTCCTTGTAGGAGATGTTTCAGTGGTAAAGCTCGTAGCGGCGCTACAGGCGCCTCCCCTCAGCCTCGCAACTTCAGCCTGGAGCAGCGCGACGGCCACTTTTGCTTCTCGCAGCTGAGAAGCGGCCTGAGAAGTTAAGTTCACAATGGGAAACCAGAAAGAAGCTCAGCAGCACTAGGAAAAAGACACAAACTACAGTAGCAACAGCAGCGCCAGCGCAAGACATAATGCCTTTGGACGAAAAAGGCAACTGGACTGCTAGAACTGCCAAAAGAAAGAACGGAGCGTCGCTTGTGATAAGACAAACTGACTTTGTTTGCTTCGGCGACGCGCTCCTCTAGTAAACGTACATCAGCCGCAGCGGCGGCGACTTCGGCTTCTGCCGCCTGTCAAAAGGGTAGAAAGGGCGACCGACTGCTTTGAAATGCAGGGGATAACAAATAGGCGGCAAACACTCAACGAAATCACCCAGCCAGGGCGACCTCAGATAGATTCAAGGGTGTGCGAAAAGGTAACAAATCGTGCTACTTGACATAAATGTAAAATAAATGAGAATAAAGGCGAGTGAAAACAAGTACTACTGACCTGGCGCTTGCTGAAGACTTGCCTCGCATCTCGTGTCGAAATTTTCTGGCCACAGTTCAGGAGGATGGCGCGAATGTTGGAGAGGCATTGCATGCCTCTAAAATACAGCAGTGGGTGACAAGCAGGAAAAACAATAAATAACATAGCCGATATAGAGAACCACGCGCAACGAGACGGGGACACACGGGTGAGGGTAGGCACAGCACAGGAAAATTGAGCCTCTGACTCAATTCAAGGCGTCGAAACGTGAAAACTGAAACACTTTTGGAAAAATGGAGAAGGAATATCCCAGAGGTCTGCAAGCTAGAAGTGAAAGGCATCAAACGCGAGTGGCAGAAACCAGCTAATAAGTGACTTTGACTCACACTGTAGCGACATCACGCAGAGGCTCTGCGCGAAGAGCCGCGTAAGAA